GTGACTATGTCACCTTACATGGCAAAAGGGACTTTGCAAATGTGATTAAGGATCTTGAGGTGAGGAGATTTTCCTGGGTCATCCGGGTGGACCCAATGTAATCACAAGGGTCCGTGTATGGGAAAGAGGGAGGCAGGAGAGTCAGAGAGGGAGATGTGATGACAGAAGCAGAGGTCAGCGTGATGCAACAGCTGGCTTTGAAGAGAAGAGATCTCGGTCCCCTTGGCAGAGGCAAAGGCCCGGCTTCAGCTCACAGGATGGAATTGGGGGCAGCCAGCCTGAAGCAACAGAGGGTCCAGGTTGAACAGTGCAGGGAGGGAGATGACGTTGTGTAAAGATGTTGGGACCAGTTCAGTGGCACTTTCCTTTTTATAGTATCTTAAGATCAAACACCCAAGGCCATTTCTCAGCCTAACTAAGCCTGAGCTCAAAATTACATCAGCACATTGCCAAAGAGGATTTATTTGGCCCCCACCCAGGTGTGCACCAGCCTGACTCTGAACGAGGCCCACCTCCGGGAGGTGTTTTCCTCCCTCTAGTTATGTTCTGGTCTTTCTTGGGAAAAGAGCAGTCATTTGGGACAAAAGAAAACTGGTACATCTGGACAAGTAAAATACAGACAACTCTCGATTAGCTGAGTGTGGCATATCTACTTTGAAGAGTGTCTGTAGAAAATGTCAGATCTCTGGAGGCTGCTTCCTTTTGAACTTGATCGCAGAGGCGACAATGGTGCCCTCCTAGGGCGTCGCCTCAGCACCTCCAAGCAAATTGGCCGTTGGTCCAAGCTGTCCTGGTCTGCCCCAGCTGCCATTTCTTATGTCCGTGTGGCCTTAAACCACATAGAAATGTCCTTTGGATCATCTGGCGAAGTAAATTATTTGAGCTTCTGTCCCCTTGTTCTTTCAGTCCCTCTGTCTGTCCATCCATCCACACATCCATCCATCCAACAACCATTCAACAAACATTTATGAAGATCCCACCTTGAGCTCAGATCCAGAGGGCTCTCTGAGGAGACCCAGAATGAGTACATAATACACTCTCACCATCCCTACCCTCCAGAAGCTTATAGCCCATCAGAGAAGGCTCATCCATCTGTAGTCTATTAATAATAATAGTAAAATAACAACAACAATTGCCATCCTGGATCAATTGCCTACTGTCTTAGTCTGCTCAGGCTGCTATAACAAAATACCATAGACTGGGTGGCTTAAACAACATTTATTTCTCACAGTTCTGGAGGCTGGAAGTCCAAGATCAGGGTGCCAGCATGGTCGGGTTCTGGTGAGGACCCTCTTCCTGTCTTGCCACCTTGTTGCTGTGTCCTCACGTGGCAGAGAAAAAGAAAGGGCAAGCTCTCTGGTGTTTCTTCTTCTTTTTTTTTTTTTTTTTTTTGGTGAGGAAGATTTGCTCTGGGCTAACATCTGTTGCCAATCTTCCTCTATTTTGTATGTGGGTCACCACCACAGCATGGCTTGATGAGTGGTGTAGGTCTGTGCCTAGGATCTGAACCCATGAATCTGGGTCACCAAAGCACAGCACACTGAACTTAACCACTATGCCATGGGGCTGGCCCCTGGTGTTTCTTCTTATAAGGGCACTAATCACATCATGGCGTCCCACCCTCATGACCTTATCTAAACCTAATCACCTTCCAAAGGCCCCTTCTCCAAATACCATCACACTGGGGTTTGGGCTTGAACATATGAATTTGGGAGGCAGGGAAGGACACAATTCAGTCCATAGCACCTACCATGGGCTAAGCTGGTAAAGTGCATTATCTCTAATCCTTATACCAGCTCCCCAGCCAGGCTCCACTGCTCTCATTTTATAGATGAGGAAAGGGCGGCTTAGAGAGGTAATGACTTGCTGGAAGCCACACAGCTGGAGCCTGGCAGAGCAGGGATCTGATCCTGGGGCTGGCTGGATCCATCACCAGCAGGCTGGTTCCCACTCTCACATTGCCCTCCTTCCTGATGCCCTGGAAAGGGCAGGACCTGTGCAGAGGATGCTGACGTCACCCAGCCCCAGCTCCCACTAAATGCCAGCGTCCACCAAGCCCCCTTCCTGGCCCAGCAAGGCCCTGGGGAATCGAGCAGACAGCCTGGCAGTGGCCTCTGTGAGCAGAAAAGGTCTGGATGAAGGAGCCTTTAGTAAACGAGGGAGAGAAAGTAGACTCGCCTGCAATACCTAGAGCTGCCGGCCTCATGGAGATCTGCACAAAGCCTACTTCAAAAGGAAGAGGCCATCAATCTTTAATGCTTCTGCTCGCTGGGCTGGAGGACTCAGGACCCCCTCATCGGCACAAACCTGCCCCCCACTGAGGGAAGGCACAGCCTGGATTCTCTGACGGGCCTGCAGTGTTGTCGTGGCTGACACTGGGCGCGCCCTGTGTGTCAGGCCCACTTAGGGCACTTCCAAGACCTTCCAAGGCTCCTGGCACTGGAGAGCTTAGGACGCCCACCCCCACCACGCCAGGAAACTCAAAATGCATTTTTATTTCTTCAAATGACACCATATCTACTTGTGCTAAAACTAAAATCGCTTCTTTCTTCTGTCTTAAAACACCAGAACTTTCTTCTCACTCCCCGACTGCTGCTTTGCTGGTGTGCCTGGCACACAGGCGGTCTGCCTCAGGCTACCCAGAGTCCCCTGAGAAGCCCAGCTGCCTGGCTCCTGAGGCCGGGCCACAGGGCGGTGTGAGGTGCCGAGGCCATGTGCCATGTCAGCCTCCAGGAGTTCTCTGTGGAGACGGCCCACCTCCCCGAGACAGACAATCACTCTCTGAGCCAGAGCAGTGCGGTGACAGGCGTCAGTAAGTCAGTCGGTTGTGATGGGTCAGTTCCACCGGGATCCCGGAGTTGGGGGCCAGGGAGAGAAGGGGAACAGGGATGAGGAAGGGAGAGAGAGAAGCTCTCGGGAGATTATCACCTGGGTGGGGAGGCTGGTTTGTAACATGAAAACCCAGCTGTCACTGTCTCAGATGTAACTGCCCTCACGCCAGACTGTGGCTGGAGGCGCGCGGTCTCAGCTCAGCTCGGGGGCTTGTTCACAGGGTGGTCCTGGCTTGTCACATCCTCTCTCTAGGCTGCAGGTTCCTTTCATCGCTCATGACAGGGTTCAGGACACTCTGCCCACAGGTGTGGCACATTGGCATATTGAATAACTTCAGCTGAAGGAATCTGAGACGTGGCGGGTGCAGGAAGGACGCTCTGACCTTCCCCCGAAGCGGGTCAGAAGACCCTCGTGTGAGAGGCGCCCTCCCCGCACCGGGAAAGGAGCCTCCGTTCACCAAGACGCCGGGAGAGTCCAAACCAACAGGCCGCCGCCTCTCTTGTTTACTGCACTTAGCTCACGCCTCTTTTTGTCCTATCATATTTTTTCATTTTCCGCTCTTGATCACACCTGGCATAAAAACGCTCAGATTTAACTGTTCCTTCTGGTCTTTGTTTCTTGTGTCAAGGCTCCCGGGTCATGTATAACTGATATGAAGTAAATTTGTATGCTTTTCTCTTGTTAATCTGTCTTTTCTTATAGGGACCTAAGCTGAGAGCTTAGAAAGGTAGAGGGAAAAGATAGTTTCCCTTTCCTGTAGTCACAATAGATCTTGAAATTTCCTCCCAGCTCCAACCATTGGTTAAAGAGTTTGGGCTCTAGGTTCTGAAAACTGGCTTCACCATTTACCTGCTGTGTGACCTTGGACAAGTTACTTCATGTCTCTGAGCCTCCATGTCCTCATCTGTAAAATGGGAGTAATAGCTGTTCTCCTCTCATGGATTGGTGTGAAGATTAACTGCAATGACATGGAAAGGCTTAGCAGAGTGCCTGGTATGTAGTAAGCACTCACTGAATGAGCTGCCATTACAATTATTATTATTAACAGTCTGTGCCTCCAAGGCTGGACCCCTGAGTGTTAGCCGCACACAGGCAGGCAGGTTTTCTGTAATCTGTGTTGACTTGAGCCAGGATTTTGAAGCTCAAAGCCCTGCCCAGCTGAGGGGTCTATACGTGGCCACGCATCAGCCTCTTAGATACTCCCAAAAAGAGGCACCTGGTGAACTGAGAAAGAAGAGACGCAGAACCCAGGAGGGTTGTAGGGGCTAGAGCCTGGACTACCAGCCTGGGGGGCACATGGGCAGGCAGGACTCTCGGATGGTGGTCCCAAACTCTCACATGTCCTCCACTATATCCGCACGCCCATTAGCCTCTTAACAGCCACTCGTAAGTCAACCTACTTCTGTTCTTTTTTACTTAAATATATTTATTTTGTAAATGAAAACCCAGCTGGGAAATCTTTATTGCCTGCCATTAATAGGGGTAAAACTAAAACAGTAAAATGAAAACAGAACCACAATCAGGTTCAGCTGGATTCTTTGTCCTCTCCAGGCTATTTGATTTGCAAGCAGCAGAAAGGTGTTAAAGACTTACCCCAAATGGAGCTTTTCTTCTGGACCCAACTAGAGGGATGGGAGAAGAATTCGGAAGGAAATAACATTCTCACATTGGGCACAGTGTTCGGTAACGCCAAGCCCAGGAAACACCTGCCATCTTCCTGTGGTTTGGGGATGTGCTGGGCTTGGGGCCAAAGCATTTGCCTGTGAGGTGGGCTCCAGAAGCCCTGGGCAGGGGATCCCCAAGATGTCCCGAGGCAGGATCCTTGGTCCCCCAGACCCCCAGGACAGGGACCCACCACCCCGCCCTGGTGACCGGCCTGCCCAGTGGAAGAACAGAAGCGTGTGCTGCCTGTATCCCCCAGGGTCCCCTTTCTCCTTCAGCCCAGAGCAGGCAGATCCCACACCCCGTAATGTCCCTGTTGCCTACCCCTCGTCGCCTCCCAACTCAGGTATTCTGAGCTGTCGCTCCGTAGAGGTCTCAAGTCACCATCTAAAGCCTTCTCTCCTCGCTCCTCCCTGGGGTATTTCTGGCTCCAAGAGGGGAAGAAAGCCCTGAAACCCGAGGCGACACCGTCGTCGGTGACACGCCTGGAGATGTGCATTAATAGAAGCCTCCCTCAGGCCCCTGACACGTCTGGGCAGCTGCTCAGCCCCATCCAGTGTCCCTCAGCCCCAAGGCCAGCCCACTCTGGCTCGGCCGGGCACACTAAACTTAGCTTCCACCCCCCGCTCGATAACCGCCGCCACCACCCCAGCCCGGCTGCCACCTGCCCAGGGAGACGCTGCCACCGGACCTGCCCCGAGCGCCCACTCCTCCGCCATCGCCATGTCCCAGACCAAAGCACTGAAGGTCCGCGTGACCCTCTTCTGCATCCTGGTGGGCATCGTGCTGGCCATGGTGGCCGTGGTGACCGACCACTGGGCAGTGCTGAGCCCCCATGTGGAGCACCACAATGCCACCTGCGAGGCGGCCCACTTCGGCCTCTGGCGGATTTGCACCAAGCGTATTGTCCTGGGCAACAACAAGGACAAGAGCTGCGGACCCATCACCCTGCCTGGGGGTAACGTACTCACTCCCTGTTCCCCGTCCCTGCCTCCTGCTCTTCCTTGTCCCCCTGGAAAAGTCGCCCCTGGGAAAGAAGGCAGTTTTCCCCATCTCAGAATGGACCACCGCCCAGCCCTCCGGGCCCAGGGAAGAGGATCTGAACTGCATGCGGTTCTGCTGGTGGCCAGAGCCGGGCTGTAAAAAGAGGGCACGTGTCTCTAGCTATTTCCGTCTTGGGGAGGCTTGGGGCTTTTCACCCAGAGCAGAGGGCTGGAGTAGTGGGACCAGAGGCTCAAGAAAGAAATCGAGGATCCTCCAGCTTAGGGGCTTCTGGCCCCAGAGTGGTCATTCCTCCGGGTGTGCCCAGCTCCACTCTCTCCCTGCAGAGACAGGCGGGGTGGCCCTATGTCCTCAGGCTGAAGGGACCCAGGAGGCTGGCATGTTCATTCCCCAGACTCCAGGCTGGGGTGTAGACAGGATCGGCTAGAGAATTTATGGGGCCTGGTGCAAAATGAAAATGCAATTAAATGAAATTGTGATCATTTTTAAGAATTTCAAGGTGGCGACAGCAAGGCATGAAACCATGCAGGGGTCCGTTGCAGGTGCAGGGCCTTGAGCGAAGCACAGGTCACACGTTTGTGAAGCAGGACCTGGTTGGCGATGAGCCACCTGCCTTTTTGTCAGAACTGTCAGTCCTTCTGTAGGTCCTCCCTCAGCTCAGACCCCTGAAGAGCTGGAAAGCATTTCCTTCTGCTGTAATTTAAGTGCATTCCTCGATTTCCTACCACGTGACTGAACCACACACTGAAGGTGAGCTCCTTGTCAAGAATACCTGATATTAGGGTGACCAGTCTATTCTGCAAACATGGAGCCCTCTGCATGCACAGCAAACAGAGCATGTGCTGAGAGGAGCCCTGCGTGGAGAGTCAGAGGCCTGGGCTCTAATGATGCGTTGCTCACAACCCCCGAACAACTATCAGGAGTGACAAAGCCCATCGCAGCCTCTGCTTCCTCCTATAAAATACGGTACTTGGGCTCAGCAACATAAAGTCCCTTCCGTTGCTCACAAATGTCCCTCCGAGGAGGCAGTGGACAAAGGTGAGTGCAGGATCCCACCTGGTTTTCAGAATTATTCTCTGTTATCAGACTGGGTGTTCCTTGAACTCTGCCCTTCAATGGTGTCCGTGCTAAATCCCCAAAGATCTTTTAGTCTGTGTGTGGGACAAAGGGGCCTAAACCCCCTTCTCTCTTTCCTCTTCCTTCCCCTTCTGCTGGCTCCAGGAAACCCTTGCCTTGCTCATTCCCACTGGACACCTGGAAGACTCGTAAATACCCAGCTGTCTTGGAAACACCGAGTCCCAGGGCTGAGGACTTTAATAGGCATGGACATGTGCTTGAAAAGTATCACATAGCACAGAGGCCCACGCCCCTCAGCCATGGCTGAGCACGCCCGTAAACACATGCATCACTGGCCAACTCTCCTGGGCAGGGCAGGGCAGGGCAGGGCAAGGCAGATTCTCCAGGGACCACACATGGGAACGCAGTGTTACGGTTCTGCCCACCTGTCCTTGGAGGCACCTGCCTTTTAAAGTCTGGTGAGTTTATAGAGCCGATGAGCAGGGAGGTGAGCTGAGTCTATACAAGGAAGAGACAGAGTGGTGGGATGTGACTGGACTAGCCACAGGGGACCAGCAGGCATGGCTTGGCCTTGAGCCTCCTTGAGCCTAGACTATGCCTTCTTGCCCTGGTCCAGAGTGAATCATCCCTCTCATACTCGTGAGCACTGCCTTACCCCCAAGGAGCTTCCGAAGTGTGCTCCTGCCTTCTCCCCTCTCCTTTCTCTGCAAGTGGACATCTTTGTCCTTCCCTGCCCATTCTTCCTGTGCTCTGTGGGATCACTCTTTTCTGGAGGGAGGAATAGAGTTCATATACATTCTCTCATTTATTATTAACAACAACAATAATAATAACTGCAAACAGAAATATAGCACCACCTGCCAAACATTGTTTTTTGTTTTAAGTGCTTTACATATATTAACTTTGGATGACATCAGAAGAAATGACAGAATAAGAACCTCCAAAAATCTTCTTCTTCATAAAAACTATGAGAACACTGGCAAAATGGTCAGAATAAACTTTTTCAGAACTCTGAAAATTAACCAGTCTTGCAGCTATCCAGCAAGTGCTTATTCAAGAAAAAATGGTGAATCTCAGTAAGAACAGCGAGCTTCATGGTGTTTTAACTTGCTCTATTTGCGTTCCTCCCTCCCTAACTCTGTCATAGCCTTGAAAACCAACAGTCTGCCATCATAGTGAAAACCATCAGCCTGGTAGCCACCAGACAGGACAGAACAGGGCTGGATCTCTTTCAAAGCCTCACTCCCAGAGAATTGTCATTATCTGATCTCTCTGGTGGTTCCTGGGAAGTCTCCACTTGCAAGGCTGTCTTTGTTTGACCTGAGCTCGTCCAGCAGAGTAGTCTTTTTCCCAGGGGGCATTTGTCAAAAACAATTAGAAACAATTGCTTAATATCATAACTGCCTGAGGCAGTAGATAACAGTTAGGGCAAAAAATAGGCTAACTAAAAAACTAGGGCATAAGATGTCCAAGGTGGCTTTGAAAAGCTCCAACACATTCCTGAGAATGTAGAGGGCCAGGTGCATGCACAGTGCTATATGTGTGCACAGGGAAGACCTGCGAAGGTCCTAGGCTCTCACCTCTGGCTTACCTTGAGCCTGCACACAGCAGAAAGTGAAGGCTAAGGCAGAAATATAGATGCCTACCTGAGTCCTTACCTCTCTGCTGAGCAGAGAACACTTCAGTAAAGACTGAGAGATGCGTTGGTTCCAAGCATTTTAGGAAATCCCTATGAGCTGACCACCAAACTAACTGAGCAGAGATTTCAGTGGCCACACATGACAAAGAATACAGACTTAACAAAATTAATTCAGAAAAGTCACTAAACAAACAACAATAACAGACGGCAACAGGGACAAACCCTGGGGAAGGGTAGGAATCTGATTTTCAGAGTTGCTAGATTCTGCTGTTTAAATTATCCAGTTTTAATTTTAAATTTAAAATTTTTAAAAATTACAAGACATGCAAAGAACTAAAAAAGTAAGGCCCACATGTAAGGGGAAAAAAGCAATCAATAGATCCTTAAGGAAGCCCACATACCGGACTTACTAGACAAAGACTTTGTCACCTATTTTAGATATATTCAAAGAACTAAAAGAAACCATGTGTAAAGAACTAAAGTAAAGATGAGAATGATGTCCCAAGAAATAAAGAACATCAAGAAGAGATAGAAATTATTTTAAAAGGACCTGATAGAAATTCTGGAGTTGAGAAGTACAATAATTGAAATAAAAGATTCACTAGAAGGGTTCAATAGCAGATCTGAGTAGGCAGAAGAAAGAATCAGTGAACTTGAAGATGGATCACTTGAGATTAGATAGTCTGAGGGACAGGCAGAAAAAGAGAATGAAGAAAAATGAACAGAGCCTCAGAGACCTGTGGGACAGTATCAGATGTACCAACATATGCATAATGGTAGTCCTAGGAGAATAAGAGAGAGAAAGGAGCAAGAAATATATGTAAAAAAACAATGACCAAAAATTTCCCAAATTTGATGAAAAACATTAATTTATAAATCTATGAATCTTAATGAACTCTAAGTAGGATAAATCCACACCTAGACACATGGTAATCAAACTGTTGAAAGATAAAGATAGGGGCCGGCCCAGTGGCGTAGCGGTTAAGTTCGCGTGCTGCGCTTCAGCAGCCCAGGGTTCAATGGTTCAGATCCTGGGCACAGACTTACTCACCACTCATCAAGCCGTGCTGAGGCAGCATCCCATACAGAAGAACTAGAAAGGACATACAACTATGACATACAACTATGTACTTGGGTTTTGGGGAGGAAAAAGGAAAAAGGGAGGAAGATTGGCAACAGATGTTAGTTCAGGGCCAATCTTCCTCAAAAAAAAAAAAGAAGAAGAAGCATCATCTCAGTGCAAATTCTTTAAAAAAAAAAGAAAGAAAGATAAAGGCAGAGAATCTTGGAAGCAGTAAGAAGCGACTCATCACATACAAAGGCTTCTTAATAAGATTAACAGCTAATTTTTTCCCAGAAACCATGGAGGCCAGAAGGCAGTGGGATGACATATATGTGTGTGTGTGTGTGTGTGTGTGTATATATATAAACTCATTTAATCCTCACTAAATTCTCTATGAGGTCCATACTATTATCATCATCCCATCTTGCAAATAAAGAAAGAAAATGAGGCACAGAGAAAGTGATTTGACCAAGGTCATGCAATTACCATGGCAGAGCAGCGAGGATTCATACCCCTAAAATTCACCTGCTTAGTCAATACATCATACTACTTTACAACAATCCAGTGAAGAGGCTCTCATTCTACAGATGGTTCTCCTTCTACATGTGGGAAAAATGAGGCTCAGAGGGGCCTTCCCATGGCTAACCATCTAACAAGTATAAGTTCAATATCCAAGTCTCAAATCCAGAGCCTTTTTGCTCTCTAGGTCCCTCCTATATCCTCCACTGTACAAACAAACACAGCCCTTATAAGCTGCTGACCCAAGCAAATACATAAGAGGCCAGCTTTTGACATGATGTGGTTTAGAGGAAGCTGGACCAGGAGCTGGTACAATAGAGGAGACTTTTCAAGGTCCTATTCAGCCATAGAATGCTGGAGGCTCTGAGGACACAAATTGCTAATTTGGTTTTCCCACTGACTCAAAGAGTCTTAGAAGGACTGTCATACACAAGATCAACATCTGAGGTCAATTCCAGTGCCTCCAGAATGAGAGTAGGGGCTTCCCCAGTTGTCAAGAGAGGCTGTCTGTCTGCAAGCCCAAGTGAATCCCCAGAGGGGTCATCCCTTGCCCTTGGGCTAGGTGGAATGTTGCTTCTTTCAGGCTCTGCCTCTTTAGGGCAAGGCAGCAGCTTGGCCCAGTGCCCTGTTTCCCTAGTGGCCCATTTTTTCTTCCAGTACTCGATGCAGGGCCTGGGGCCATACGAAAGCACTGATGCTACTGACCACAAAAACTTTAGGGGTTCCCTTTCCCATCCACAGGAGCCCATGCTGGAGACCCAGGCCATAACTAGACTTCTCCCCCATAGGACAGCAATGCTCTGAAGCTCTGGGGTTGGGCTCCAGGGATTTTTCCAACCATTTTATAAAAGTCTTCACTCAGAGAGATTAGGGGAAACAGAGCACAGAGAAACCACTGTTGCAAGCATCAAGAACTTCTTCCACAAAAAGGGTGAAGACATCCCTGGCACTGCTGCAAGTAACAAGTGGATGAAACATTTCTTCTGACCCCTAAGCACTAGTTCCCTTATTTTGTACAAATCAACAAGGTATTTTTTAATATATAAGTCTGCATCCACCAGCACTGGGTAGACTGATGCATTCTCAGTGACAACTCAGAGGCATCCCATGATCATTCAAGCTGTTCCAACAATCAGAAAAAGATCTCTTGTTAACTCAAGTTCAGCTTGGCGTTAAACGAGCCTTCTGTTTCAGTTCTTTGAAATTGTCTCAGTTAGATATGGTTCTGCCTAGATAGTCACTCCCTTAACCAGAATTTTTCATTAGCCAGAATACTTCAACCCCACTCAAGCCCAATAGCTGAGTTCACCATATTTTTTAAGTAATAACACACTTAAAGTTTTTAGACCACTAAGTCATGACTGTTTATGGTAGACATTTCTGAAATACAAATATTAAAATCACTGTGAGCCATTTGCAGAGACAAAGGATGCCGGAGGAGCCTCAGAGTTCCCAATTATGGTCGCAGATCATCACCCTGGTGTTGGTTTCTCCACCAACTTGGTCCAAAGCACTTGCTTGTTCTGCTTGGTGAAGGGGCTGGAGCCCATCGAGGCAGAGCTGCAAGCCCTGAGCTTTGTGCAAGTGTGACGGAGGCAGAAGGGGGCGTGGAGGCACATCAGAGAGGCAGAGGCAGGAAGGCTCAGAATCTGCACACAGTCTGCACAGAGCTGTCACTGCCCCTGTCCTCCAGACCCCCTACTTGTGACTAAGTGCCCCACACAGGGCCCATCTCGATGTCCCTCCTTTTCAAGTTGCCCTTAACACTCAGTTTACTCAGACACCACCAGACAAAGGGGCAGGGGTGGGGTCTGCCCCTCTCAGACCCATCAGACCCTGGGCAATTCTGGAGTGATGCTGACAGATGCCTGGCTTGACTTGTCCTAAATGAGCATCTTGTTGGTCCTGGACATGTCCAGGCTGAGGCCTGGGTGTGACATGCCCCCACCACCGCCAGGGCCACCAGGGACCACAAAAGAGCTTGTGGTCTCCAATGGGCAGCCATGGGGCCCTGGAGCGGATGATTCTCCAGGGTTCAGGGCAGAAGACTCTGGCCTTCCTCATGTGCTAGTCCAAGAGAGGGGACAAGGTTGGCCCATCCGTCCTCAAGTCCTAAGTTCAGCTATGTCAGATAGAAGCTGAGACTTCCAGATGTTCTGAGTGGGAACCCCACCCACTGGGTGCCCTCCATCCCCCACATGTGAGATCATTTCATAGGGGAGAAGAGGGAGGGGAACATTGTACCTGGGCCACTGAGGGGAAGAATCCACCCCCTCAAGAATCTTCAGGCTGGCTTCCCCAGACATGCAGCCTCCCGCTGTGGTCTGAGCTAAGACAGTTTTTATGCAAGCACCTGGGAGCAGCAGCAGTTCATCCAGACTGCAGCCCGGTATTTACCTGGTGGGGGTTGACAAGCCAAACACTACCTGTGCCAGAGTATCCTCGGCAACCCAGAACCGCCAAATAGCTGTGCCTTGGCCAGGCTCTCGATGGGCTTTTATCTCGGGCCTCTGCCCCGAAGGCTTTTAGCTCACAGACGACGAGTAGTCAGGGAGGCAGCTGACGGTGAAATACACTTGAATTCAGTCGATTCTTTTCAGAGGGTTTTCAATGACAACCGAAATTGGCCCTTAAAGAATGAAACAGAAATGTTCCTTTGTCCAGAAGAAAACACGTGGAGACTTATGACATAGCACGAACCGTTTGGGAGCAGTGATTCAAGAGAATCTATAGCTAATAATCTAACCAATGTAAGAGGGTTGCATTAGGCTCTAAAATAGCACCGGAAGCTGTGAGAGAGAAAAGAGCAGCAGCAATTCTGACATCACCACCGGCAGTCAGACACCCCAGGTAACTCAGTTCAAAAGGAAAGTGATTTAAATATAGAAGCTCAAAGAGATGGCTGTTTACCTCACAGAACATTTACTGCTGCTAAACCAGGCCCCGTCTTCAGGGGTCACTACCTCCCTCAACCACGGGAGCACCAGTAACCCTGTCATTGGGGGAGGGGGAAAGAGTGGGAGACCACAGGCTTAAGCAGCAGTAAGATGATTTAGGCCAGATAGAAGGAAGCCCAGGGCCGGCCCCATGGCTTAGCGGTTAAGTGCACGCGCTCCGCTGCTGGCGGCCCAGGTTCGGATCCCAGGCGCGCACTGACGCACCGCTTCTCCGGCCATGCTGAGGCCGTGTCCCACGTACAGCAACTAGAAGGATGTGCAACTATGACATACAACTATCTACTGGGGCTTTGGGGAAAAAGAAAGAAATAAATAAAATTATAAAAAAAAAAAGAAGGAAGCCCACATCTCAATGAAAGCTATGACTTTGGCAGCACCTCAGATGTGTTTCCAAAAGAAACTCGGCATCAATTGCCTTGTGATAACTTAAAGGTAGCCTGGAGATGAAGAAATGAATGCACGAACTAGAAACCATCTAAACTAGGAGCAGAGGTGTTTTCTGTTGAGGGTCACAGATCCGTAGGAAAACGAAATCAATGAAGGGGCACACAAATAAAAAGCAACTTAATTTAGTTTTCTTAAGAAACATAAAATAATATAAAATAACCCAATCATTGACTTCCCAGATCAGGAGTAAAGAATATTAAACTGCATCCAATAAGCAATAAGACAACCCTTTGATTTTACAGTATTATCTAGTTACAAGAGATTGAGAGACAAATGGAAGAGAAATGATGCCTGAAATTATATGTAAAATCAGCATGAATTTCTTTGTTCTGAGCTCTTCCTCTGCACCCCCATCAAACCCAGATTTTTGGTCCTACTGTCCACAGACCTTCTACGGCTTTTCTGACACATATCAAGTGGGCCAAGCAGCTCGTCAGCGGAGTCTTGTCTGGGCTGCCTCTATGGCCACGGGTGTTGAGGGGCCGATGAAATGATGTGATGGTCATATTTGGCCCTCTATTGGAGCTTCTCCACCCTTCACCCAAGTCCATCCAGACGGCCCACTCAGAAAAGCCCTGTGCGGGGCATTTTAAGGGGCCCGGAGCAGGGCTTCCCAACCTGGCTGAGCACGAGAATCTCCCGGAAAGCTTTTGAAAAATACTGCTTGCTTCCCAGATCACAACCAGTGAATCAGGGTGGGCCTGGATGCTGATAAGAGACACAGCCCTAGATTTTGGTGTGATACAGGGTTTCTGAACCACAGCACTCTCGACATTTGGGGGCCGGATAATTCTATGCTGTAGGGGGCTGTCCTGTGCATTGTACATGTTTAGTATCACCCTTGGCCTCCACCCACTAGATGCTAGTAGCAGCCCTGCCCAGTTGTGACACCAAAAGTGTCTCCAGATATTGCCCAATGTCCCCTGGGGGCAGAATCAGCCCTGGTTGAGAACCACTGATTGGCCCTTTTTTGGCCATGTATCCTGCACCCCCTGACAAATGACTTGAGCCCTGGGCCTCAGTTACCCCATCTGCCTAATGGGCTCAGTACCCACAGTGCTGTCTGCCCCCTTGACTCAAACAGCCTTTGCTCCCTGACGAGCTCCCAGCCTTTTATGCAACCCCCTATCCTATGGAAATTTTGGCCTAAGGGTCAGAGAAAGACGTTTGTTTCATCCCAGAGTCAGGATCTGGGGAGAAGAGGGCCAGCAGAAGGCCCCTTCACGCCTGCCCCTGCAGGACGCACCTGCCCTCTCCTGGCCACACTGCTGTCCTGGCTGCAGGTCCGTTCTCTCCATTCATAGGCTGTCTCCCTCCTTTGCAGAGAAAAACTGTTCCTACTTCAGGCATTTTAACCCAGGCGAGAGCTCGGAGATCTTCGAAGTCACCACTCAGAAAGGTGAGCCTGCGGTGCGAGGGGGAGGGCAAGGAGAAGTGACTTCCATCACACGCTGCTGAGCCAGAAAATCACTCGGCACAAAAGCCCTGACTTCCCCGCTCGTGATGAAAAGCAGCCACGTCCTAGTGCCTGCAAGCTGCAGCCTGTCACTCTGTGTGCTCCGGAGACAGCAGCTCCGTCTCCAGGCCTCCTGAGCTTCCATTCATCAGCGCTTGGGAGAGTTTGTAAAAGAGCCCTTTCCTGGTAGGCTCCTAAATTGCGGAAAGAATACATTTTCCCACAGAGCCGAGGGAAGCTGTTGTGACAGGAGCTATGAAAATGGAACAAGAACTCAAAATCCCTGTGATGGTTCTCAGGGCTGGTGGGTCAGAGCCTGTGGGGAACTGTCTGATTCCCTCCCTCGCCCGTAAATCACTCTCTGAGAATCAGGAGAGCAGGGATGCAGGCAGACGTGGGAGGGGCCTGAGCACACGTGCCCTGGGGCTCTGGGGAACCATGGAGCTCAGATGCACGCCCCCCACCCCCCGTCGTGAGCACAGACCCGAATCTGCACGTGCACAGATGACTGCACACGGTGTGAGCGTGCACACACACATGCACACACACTCTGATGGATCTTTACGAGTCAGTGCACACTAACACACGCTCTGACAAATCTTGACACCTGCGGTGCACATGCGTGCACACACATACACACAGATCCTCACACGCATGGTGCTCTGTAACAAGCCACACTGTCATCCTTCCAGAGGTAGCCTGTCAGTCCCGGGACAGACCACCCCCAGCCCGAGTGCAGCCTTCTGCCCTGTCACTCAAAGGAAGAGTTCTGTTCCAGAAAGTTCTCCAGCCACTTGCCTCCCACCTCCTTCCGAGGCCTCTACCCTTGGGGGAAGAACTTCAGTTTAGTGCCCTCGAGGCCCTGGGAGTAGGAATTAGGTGATGTTAACCTCCTGGCCCCATCCTCTACCTGCTGTGGTCTTCCAGGGAGAGATTTAACCTCTGAGACCCTCAGTTTTCCCATATGTGAAATGGGAGTAATAGTACATGGTATTGTCACTCACCCGGTTGGAGGCACAACCAGCCGTGACAAAAGGTCCAGGGGACGAGGCCATTCTGAGGTGCCGGGCGCTGCCTGGCCCCTTTGTGTGTTGTAGAGTACAGCATCTCGGCGGCTGCCATCGCCATCTTCAGCCTTGGCTTCGTCATCATGGGAACCATCTGCGCGCTCCTGTCCTTCAGGAAGAAGCGGGATTACCTGCTGAGGCCGGCGTCCATGTTCTATGCCTTTGCAGGTAGAACGGGGGCTCCTGCCCATGTGCCTCGCGTTGGGGGGTGCTGCCACCCCATTATCACGCCTACCTCGGGATGTGGGTATGGAGAGATTCCCAGGCTCCACCCAGGAGCAAACCTGGGCAGGGTCTCAGCAACTCCAGGTGGGTTGGGAAGGGGGGCAGATCTTGGCACCTTTGTCCATTTCTCACAAAGACTTAATCCCCAAGACACTGAGAGCAATCTAATTACTAACAAAAATTTAAATTAATAAAAATAATCCTAACAAAAGAAGCAAAGAAACGTAGTTAACCTTCTGGGGGATGAGCGAACTGTGTGGTGGGCAGGCAGAGGGGTCGCTTTTGCAGGTTTCCAGTTCTCCAGGCAGCTCACCGGTCACCACCTGCCGGTCACCACCTTGCCCCGTGCAGAAAGCCCAGTAGAGCAGGCTGGGGGGCGGCGCGGGCAGCAGGAGCCCCCGGCCCTGAGAGTCATTCTCCGCCCTCAGGTCTCTGCATCTTCGTCTCGGTGGAGGTCATGCGCCAGTCGGTGAAGCGCATGATTGACAGTGAGGACACCGTCTGGATCGAGTACTATTACTCCTGGTCCTTCGCCTGCGCCTGTGCCGCCTTCGTCCTCCTCTTCCTCTGCGGCCTGGCCCTCCTGCTCTTCTCCCTCCCGCGAATGCCCCAGAACCCCTGGGAGTCCTGCATGGACGCCGAGCCGGAGCACTAGCCCGCCTGGGGCCCCAGCGACTCTCCTGGCTTTCCCCTCAGGAAACGGAGCCCAGGCTCAGAATGTTCTAGAAGGGAGGCGGGAGCTTTACATCTCCCCTGTTCCCACGACCCCATGACCGCCACAGCTGCTTTCCCCTCTCTGAGCTCCTCTCTGGGCTGAGACAGGCTCCTCTGGAATCCAGCAAGTGGACATGATCCAGACCCGCCCGCAGCCAGCAGGTGCACAGGTGCGTGGAGAGGCCCGACCTTCCACTGGAGCCCCAAGTTGTCCCCACTGCGCCAGTTTTCTTTAATAAGCTGGCCCCACTTGTCCTCCATTAGCCTTATAGGGACGCCCCGCGCTCATTTACCAGTTCTGGGTGTTCTCCTGTATAAACGGCCAACCCCTCTCTCCTTGGTGACAAGACACACCCTTTCTGGTGAGGTCAACATCCCCTCCTTGGCTTCTAGGAGGCCTGAGAAGCATTTTTAACTGGGTAGACTCTGACCGTGGTTTGAAATAAAAGCTCTTTGAAAACTTGCTTTTTCCTTGCACGGTACCTAGAAATCTCTGGGATTCCTGACCACAGCTCAGGGGCTCCATGACCCCGAAGGAGAAAGCAAAGCCTGTGCCCTGGGTATGTCGAGGACTGTTGCAGGGATGATGGGGAGTGGGGGAAGGCGTGCTTTTTACCTATAAGACTTCCGAATTCTCAATTCCAACTTGTGTCTCTTGGCCTGGATTTTCTTTGGGAGAAACCAGAGACCATCTGACCAGGCAGGAGTGTTAAAAATAAGGAGGGGCTATTTCCAGCACTCCTCTCGCTGGGCATCCAAGTGCTAACACAGCACTCCAGCAGCACAGCCACGGTGTCCGGTTTCTGATGCTGGATTTTCGTTGCAAAGAACATTAGGAAGCAGGGCTTAGCGGTCAGAAACTTAGGGCCACGTGGAGCGCCATGATTTACGCTCTTCACTTCCAAAACCCCACTGAACTCCCCCAGCCCTCAGAGACGGTCAGTCAGACACAGTGGGCAGAGACGATCCTGGTGCTCTGGCCTTGAGCACGACCGGAAGTCCCGTGTAGACCTCATTCTTCTAGAGCAGGGGTCAGCCAACTATGACCCATGGGCCAAACCTGGCCCACCACCTGCTGTTGTGCGGCCCACAAGCTGAGAGTGGTTTTTACAATTTTAAATGGTTAAAAAAAATCAAAATAAGAATAATTCATGACTTGAAAATTTCATGAAAATCAAATTTCAGCATCCATAAGTAAAGCTTTTTGGGGCTGTCAAAGATAAACAAAGCCACTAGTTAAAGTGATAAGGACAGAATTTACTCAGAATTCTACTGCAGTAGGGAAGAGTCCAGTATGAACTGGACTCAAAACTGCGATTTGTACAGAGGTGATAGGATATTTAAAGGGAGACTCAGGGAGAGGTGGGGGGAGCCGGGGCTCTGTGGAGTCAGAGAAGTGAAAGATTACGAAGAGCGGGAAGGAGAGGGTCGGTCCAGGTGAGACCCATCTGGGTCTGCTAACTGGCCCTCATCAAAGTTAGGCTCCTACCTTCTCACAGAGGCCGGGGGGCAGGGGCTCTGTCTCCAGGTGTCACAATAGTAAATTCTCTTGGCAGCCTTGAGTGTTCTCAGGCAGGCACTTGAAGGGGGCTCAGGTCATCCTAGGGATGTGGATTTGAGCTGTTAGAAACTGTGTAAGTGTTTGTTCAAGTCTTGATAGGCCAAGGTTGAGTTGAGAAGAGAGCTCAGAGGAGCCTGGCTAGAGTCGGGTCAAGGAGAGAGTTGGTCAGAACACAGCCATGCCTGTTCTAGGGCTAATTTCATGCTACAACAGCAGAGTCCAGTAGCTGCGACAGAGACCTCTGGCCTGCAAAGTCGGAAATATTTACTATCTGGCCCTTCACGGGAACAGTTTGCCGACCCTATTCTGGAATAACTGTACACTCATCAGCCAGCTTATTAACCCCCCACTGTTTCCATCTGTAAAGTGATGCGGAAAGAGACTTGTTCATTCTGCTTAGAACAATTTAAAAGAGAGGAGCATGAGTCTGGGGCATCTTGCTGGTGGCCACGGGGGGCTTGCAAAGATTCTTCAATAGCTCAGGGATCCGGGCTGGGTTTGGAGGGGCAGCTGGGGAGCCTGGGGGACAGACAGAGAGCACAGCCCTGCCTGCCTTTGAGCCAGGGACGGAGCAAATGTCTGGCCTGTGGTTGTGAAACCAAAAGGGTCAAAGAGAGCGGGGTGACATGAAATGTGACGAAGTCAAAGCACGGGTGCTGGAGAGCAGGGCAGCAGCAGGTGAGACCCAGAGGAGGCCACACAGCTCAGCAGGGTCTGACAGCACAAGACAGGGCACTGTCCCAAAGATGCAGCACCTGCTGGGGTGTCGGAGCCACGGTTTATGAGTAAGAAGGAAGACAGAGGACCTCATCCCACAAAGTCCACTTTGAAGGTCAGTAGTATTGTTTTATTATTATTATCACTTTTAGCAGAATTAGACTAGTGTGCATTTGATATTTCTACATGGATGCCTGTGTTTTTAGCACCAAAAAGACACTTCTGAATGGGATGTCCACTGAATATATCTTTTTAGTTTTATCCACTGAACATCCACAGAATCCCTTTGGCTTCCCAGAGTTTTAGCTCTTTCGAGAGAGACATGGGTGCACCAGGAACCACCACACAGACAAAGGGTTGGAGGGTGGCTGCCAGACCGCCACGCGGCATCGCATCTGCTCCAGCTTCTGCTGTGAAGAAAAAGACAATGCAACAGAGCAAAATAGAGGCCGATGCCAAAAGACCAATATCAACCAGACCAATGAGAAAAAATGTCTTTCTTTCCCCAGTCCACCAACTGATGCTTGCCAGAAGGATGTCTGGAGTGGGCAGCTGGTCAGTCTTGCTCAGGTTGGGTCTGGCTCAGGATTCAAGGCGTCCGCTGGACCACACTGCAGAGTTCAGCCAGGCCATGCTCTGCAGGCCTGCCCGGGGGCCCAACAGCAAAACAACAGTGCGCTCTGCTCTGAAGCGTGTAGTTAGCTTCAGAAACCCTCAGCTTCTAATCCCTCGCTTGGGCGTGTGTGAATTTAACACTCATCAAATCTCCGAGGTTCCATAACACTTTCACTTTCTCAGCTTTTTAAAATCCGTGAGGTAAGGGAGGTAGCAGAGCCAGGAGTGGCCACTCAGTCATCAAGATAAATCGTATTGAAGTGCGATATTTTTAAAATTGTGGTCAAATATACATAATAAAATTTACCACCGTAACCATTTTTAAGTGGACGGGTAGGGTAGCGTTAAGTACATTCACATTGTTGTGCAAACAATCTCTGGAAGTCTTTTCATTCTTCCCAAACTGAAACTCTGTCCCCATTAAACAACTCCCCATTCCCCCACCCCCTGCCCCTGGCAATCACCATTCTACTTTCTGTCTCTATGAATTTGACTACTCTAGGGACCTCATATGAGTGGAATCATACAGTATTCATCTTTTTGTGACTGGCTTATTTCACTTAGCATAATGACCTCAAGGTTCATCCATGTCATAGCATGTGTCAGAATTTCCTTCCTTTTTAAGGCTGAAGAAAATTTCACTGTATGTCTATGCCACATTTTGGTTATCCATGCATCCACAGATGGACACTGGGGCTGCTTCTACCTTTTGGCTATTGTGACTAATGCAGCTATGAACATGGGTGTACGAATATGTCTTCGAGACTCTGCTTCCAATTCTTTTGGGTATACACTATGTACTATTTTTTAAAATCAAAATTATTGCAAAATATCCATGATGAACACAATATCATAATTTTAAATAGAGACAAGAGCCGTATGACTAATCTTTCCTTTTGTGTCATACTCGTGTGGCTTGGCATGGCACTGGAAGGTCACCACAATGATCCCCATTGTGCAGAGGAGAAAACTGAAGACCAGAGAAGGGCTTGCTTCCTGTGACCTGGTTAACTGGTGCCCAAGCAGGAATGAGAACCAAGGCTGCTAGTTTTGAAACCAAGAACTAAGGAGTTAAAAAATCTTCCCTGGAGCAAAAACTTTAAGATAAGCTTTGCTAACTGCAGCTGTGCATATTCAGCATAATCAACTGTTGTTTAAAACTAACCAGGTTTTTCTGTCCCTCCTTAGTATATGAGTGAGCTGACTTCCCCAGAAATTCAAAGTCCAGACGTCAAGATTCAGTCTTCACGGCCAAACACAGGCACCTTCAAGGGAAGGCGCCAACCAGCAAGGCCATATGCTCCCCCTCCCCTACCTAAAACCCCAGATAAAAACCCCAACCTTTTTCCCTTGGAGGACGTGGATCTGAGTTCTAACTCCCATCTCCTCATCTGGCTGCCTTTCAATAATAATAAACCCTCTTTCCTTGCCATAAGCCTGGCATTTCAGTTATTGGCCCTACTGTGGGGCAGGTAAACAAACCTGTGTTTATGTTCGTTGGGTAACAGTTTCCCACCTGTCTAGCCAGGGCCTTTTTCCAGTTGTCACGTGGCCTCTGCCCAGGTAATTTGGGGACCAAGAGACATCTCACCCTTCTTTGGCCAACACATAGTAGGGCCTGCCCAAGGGGTTTGGTTCTTATTAATCCCTCCTTGAGACTGAAAATTTCAAGGGTCTCTGTGTACCTCTATTTTTCCTGGCTGCCCCATTAAAGGGGGGTTTTAATCACATCCTACTGCAATATTTCCCCTGCCAGTGACTTGTCCCATTTTGATCAAATATTTTATTTACAAATTCATTTCTAATTTATACCCATCCCACTTTCAGAAAAGATCTGCAGTGGAGACAAGGTATGAATAAACCCATTATGTGGAACAGATCCATTAAAATGATGATTAAACTGGTGTTCAGGGCGGGATGCAGCTGCCCACGGCTCGTCAAGCCCTTAGCTCACAGTCTCACTCAATTGCAGCCACCAAGGCCATAAATTAATCCTCACACGAGGCATTGATCCAGCACAGAGAAGAAAGTTCATGAAAGTAATTGACATTACAAGGAGCAATACTTTCTCTTCTTTTGCCTTTGCTCCTGATGAGGATTCTTGGCCTGAATGTGAAAGACCTGACCTCCTACAAATTGTTGTTGATCTGGGCTTAGACTTGCCTCTCTCCTCAGCGACAAAGCAGTGTTGGTAACCCCATGGAGAAATGGAGGACGGGGGATTTGTCTGCAACCAGAACCTGAGGGTCCTGGG